TCGAGCAAGGAGAAGTCCAAGTGCTAGAGGTTTCGAAAAATCATAATGCTGCTAATATAATCACCAAGACATTTCCCAAATGTAAGTTTTTCCATTATATGCAGTTGATAAACCTACATGAAGAAAGCTAGTTTATTCTTTGATATTAGAGTTTGTTCCAAGGTGGAGATTTGTGATATATTGGATCAAACTCTATTGGTTCAAAGAGTAGCTTCTGGTTCGACATGATTTATGCACGCGTCAAAGTATGTTCACATGCTAGTCTCAAAGACCTACATACTGTAGTCGAAGTGTGCTCTAGTATATGGGTGTCAAAATGCTAGGGTTGCTAGTATTACGAATTGGGCCTGTTTGTTATGTCCAATTGTTTAAATTAGCTTGTACCCTAAGTTAGCTTGTAATGGGTATTTGTGAAAAATCCCATTAATTTAGTATGTTAGGTTTATTATAAACAACATACTAGTCTCTCATCATTGCATACTACAAATCCTAATTTAGGGTGAAAGGTTTATTTATTATTCTTGTAACACTTGTAATCTTGATTAAAGAGAAATCAAAGAATAACAATTATAACCAATCCTTGTTGTTCTTTGTACTCTTCATTATTTTCTACCCTAATTGTTTCTTGATCATAAAGAAACAGTTTATACTTTGTATCAAAGGTATTGTTTTCACAACAGTAAAAATTATTTACAGGTTCAAACATTAAATGATAACTTGATAGAGGTTGTTCAAAACATATGACACGTATAAAACCCTATACTCATCCTTCTCTCTTTAGAAGAAAGTTTTTGTCGGTTATGGTGATAATAATAATAAGGGAAAAATTTTAAGTTTTAGTACTGTCTGTAAGTACCCTAGTTCAACGATTGTGGAAGTTCTATTGGTTAAAAGGTTAAAACATAATTTACTCGGAATATGTCAATTATGTGACAAAGGTAACTATGTAACCTTTGATTCTGCTGGAAGCAGGGTCATAAAATCTAAATCAAATAAAACTCTATTTACAAACTTAAGAAGTGAAAAAATCTACACGATGAATTTAAATAAAATTACTTCAAGTGGTGTATGTCTCCTAAGCAACCAGGATGAATCTTGGCTATGGAACATGAAAATAACTCACATCCACATGGACCACTTAACCAAGTGGGTCCAAAAGGATCTCGTAGACGCTCTTCCAAATTGCTCTTCAAAAAGAACATATTATGTGATGCATGCCAAAATATTTAGTAAGTAAAGATCTCTTTCAAATGATCTAGTTTATAAATCTTCCCCTTCTAAAGAAATGGATGAAATTGTCAAGTGCGATGAATGTCACATTTTGAAAGGTTAAATTTACGATCTTAAAAAAACACTTGGCAAGTTCACTAAGGGAAGAGAAATCTTAAATCTTTTGTTGGAGAACCAAAGAGCTTTCTACAGTAGAGATAGTCTTGAATATGAACCCAACAACAATAATAAAAAATTTAATAAAATTAGCAATGCTAGATCCACCTCTCATTGCAAAACTTTAAAATGAAATTACTCTAATAAAGAAGGTCATATTGCAATGTTATGTTTCATTACAAAAAATCAAGAGAAAAAAAGGACAACCTCCTTCACACTTTTATAAAAGATATTGTGAGCTCAAAATGAAAAAAAATATATATGCCTCTTCAAATGATTGTGTCTCTGATATAAAATCCAATAATAAGAATATTTACGAAACTATCAATAGAGGACCTAAGATGATATAGGTACCTAAAGTTAAGACTTAAGTTTTTATTGTAGGAATTCTTTACAGGTTCAAACATTAAATGGTAACTTGATAGAGGTTGTTCAAAACATATGACACGTATAAAATCTTATACTCATCCTTCTCACTTTAGAAGAGAGTTTTTTTCGGTTATGGTGATAATTATAAGGGAAAAATTTTAGGTTTTGATACTATCTGTAAGTACCCTAGTTCAACGATTTGGGAAGTTCTATTGGTTAAAAGGTTCAAACATAATTTACTTGGAGTATGTCAATTATGTGACAAAGGTAACAATGTAACATTTGATTCTGCTGGAAGCATGATCATAAAATCTAAATCAAATAAAACTCTATTTACAAACATAAGAAGTTAAAATATCTACACGATGAATTTAAATAAAATTCTTTCAAGTGATGTATGTCTCTTGAGTAACTAGGATGAATCTGGGCTATGGCACATGAAAATAACTCATATCCACATGAACCACTTAACCAAGTTGGTCCAAAAGGATCTCGTTGACGCTCATCCAAATTGCTCTTCAAAAAGAATATATTATGTGACGTGTGGCCAAAGATTAAGTAAGTAAAGATCTTTTTTAGAGCAAAATAAAAATTATTTCCACAAATTGCTCCTTACAAATGCTTCAAATGGACCTCTTTGGCACATGTAAAATTGTAAGTCTTGGTGGAAATGTCTACGCCCTTGTATTCTCATAAAAGAGACATGTTTGATGCCTATCAAAAACTAGCTCAGGTTATTCAGGACGAAAAAAGAGTTAGCATTGCATCCTTCAGAAATGATCACGATGGAGAGTTCCAAAATGAGGAATTCAAAATTTTGTAACGAGAAAGGTATTTTACATACTTTGGACTCCACTAAATCCACAACAAAACGGGGTAGCAGGGAGGAAAAACAAATCTCTAGAATAAATTGTGAGGACAATGCTCAATGAGACAAATCTTCCTATATACTTTTGGGGTGATGCAGTAAGCATTATTTGCTATGTTATGAATCATATCTTGATATAACCAACTCTAATTTTACATACTTTGGACTCCACTAAATCCCCAACAAAACGGGGTAGCAGGGAGGAAAAACAAATCTCTAGAATAAATTGTGAGGACAGTGCTCAATGAGACAAATCTTCCTATATACTTTTGAGGTGATGCAGTAAGCATTATTTGCTATGTTATGAATCATATCTTGATATAACCAACTCTAAAACAGACACCCTATGAATTATATAAAGGAAAAATTGAATATTTCTCATATACATGTCTTTGGATACAAATGTTTTATCCTTAATAATGAGAAGAATAAGCTTAAAAAATATTACACAAAAGTTGATGAAGGCATATTCATAAGATATTCCACTTAGAGCAAAGCTTTTAGAGTCTTTAACAAAATCACCCTAACTACAGAAGAATCGGTTTACATTACTTTTGATGAAACTAATCCTAACCTATTAGAAGTAGAAATTATTAATTGTGCATGTATGCTGGAAAAGATAAATCTAGAAGAAAATGGTCAAGAAGTATAACAAATGTATGACTTGTATTTTGACAATTAATATATGATATTTTGATTGAGTTACATAAATGTATGGTTTGATTGAATTATATATAAGGTTTATTAAAAATATGTTAAATTTATAAGAAAAAATTGTCTAGGGAGAAAATTTATTGTCCTAAGGGTTAATATGAAATTTAACTTCTGCATTATCCACTTATACTTATGAAAGAAATACGTTATCATGATTGCAAAATGTGTCATATGGATTAGTATGGAACTTAACCTATAGATTCACTCTTCTGTCAATAAGAAGCTTAACTTTCATATTATGTGTTGAAGTATGCCTTAAAGCCTTTAAGTGATAAAGAGAAAGAAAATATATTTCGAGATTGTTAAGAATTAGAAGGCCAAAAAGTAATTTGGTTCAAGCCTATAAGATATATAATTATAATATTCTAAGATATTAATAATATCTTTTTATTAAGATAATTAATGAGATATGTTTTGAGACTTTGTTATAGATTTGTTAGGTTTTAACAATTATGAATTGTATCTTTTTTATTACTGTAGTATGATAACTTTGAGAATTTTAAAGTTAAAGAGAGAAATAAAATTGCAGGGTTTTGAAAAACTTTTAAAGTTATTTAGAAGGATCAAACAATACTTCTAAATATCTTGGGTTTGTGTGATTATTATATTAAATGTTAGAGAGATTGAGAAATACTTGAATAGAAAATATATTTATTTTTGAAAACTTTGAAAACTATTTTCTTATAATTTATTTGTAATCTCTAATAACAATTTTTTGAGTTTAGTAAATTGAAAGACGGCTCTTTTCCTCGAACATAAATCATTTAATCGAATTATGTTTTAATAAAACACAATATTGTGTAAAAAATACGCCTATTCTAAGATAAGCCGGGGAATAGAATTCCCAAAAAACTCGTTATCAAACAAGTGCTGAATAAAAGATACTAATCAAATTGAAATAACTTTTCTTGAAGAGAAATTTCACGCTTAGTTAAGACATCAGCGCACATGTTAGACTTTCGGTAGCAATGTTGGAGAACAATCTGTTGATGTTGAAGCTTTTAAATTTTGGAGAATAATTTTACGCTATTCAGAAACTTTGTACTGTACGTAATTAAATATTTTCCATGTATTAGGCATTTTTTGAATTTTCCTAGTAGAATTTGATGGTAAAGGCACAGAGTTCGGCACTGATGGTGGCAACTGGTATCCATTGACTGCGATTCAGATTCAAACTTAACTACTTCAGAGTTGAGATTCCATCACCACCGCAGTTCACGCCCTTCTTTTGCAAAGACCATGTTATGTAATTTTTATGTGTATTTTGTCAAACATCAAAAGGTACTAAGAAAAAGTAAAATTTTGATAAAAATTGTTACCAATAACAAACAAAAGAAATCACACGCTCCATTGTAAAACATCATATACTATTTTTTTTCTTTCTAAATGACTTATATTGGGGGACATATAGAAGGCCAGTACCCTTTAAAAAGATGAAAAAATAATTAATTATAATACTGTAAGGAGAGCCTATTTGAATTGTGTGTTTATACCGAAAACATATTTGAAAAGTCCACATCTTCTACTTTTTCTTTCTCTTGTGTCGTAATTTCCACATAAAAACCACTATAAATAATGCAGTAGTCATAGACCTACATAAACTACATTCCTCCCAACACAAACTTAACAACTTCCCACCAGTTTTGGTCACTAGCTTTAAGCCATGGCCTCTAAATTTATCTCAACAAGTTTGGTTATAGTCTCCCTTCTAATGTCTCTAGCCCTACCATCCACTCTTGGTAAGTCTCCAAAACTGCTAAATTGTGGTATTATGTAACTTCGACATCTCTAAATAAAGATATTTTTAGTGTGTTATACATGTTAGTTTTTAACAGTAAAACGGCACTACACATGTGATTATATTCAATTTATTATTTTTTATATGATCTACTAATGAACTAATATGATAATATGGTGAAACTAATGCAGGAGGGATAGAATGTGAGAATCTAAGCATGGAAACATGTTCATTTGCTGTTTCATCTAGCAGCAAAAGGTGTGTCCTCGAGAAACACGTGAAAAGAACTGGAGAAGAAGCATACACATGCAGAACATCAGAGATAGAAGCTGATAAACTAAAAGATCACATTGAAAGCGACCAATGCATCAAAGCTTGTAACTTAGACAGAAAATCACTTGGGATTTCATCAGACTCACTTCTGGAATCTCGTTTCACAGAGAAGCTATGTTCTCCACAGTGTTACAAGAGTTGTCCAAATATTGTCGATCTTTACTTCAATCTTGCAGCTGGTGAAGGTGTGTTTCTTCCTAAGTTGTGTGAGGTGAATGGTGGAAATGCTCGTCGTGGAATGGCGGAATTGAAAAGCTATGGTTATGTGGCACCAGGACCTGTGCATCCAGTGGAGTTTGCAGCTTCAGCTCCACAGCCAATAGGGTATGTGGAGTTTGCAGATGAACCTGTGGTTGCTCCATCGTACCCGCCATACTAAAAATATTAGTTTAATGAATTTAAAGAATAAAGAAATAAAGAGTACTACTATATATTTAGTTTGTACTACTAATAATGAAGTTTGCACCTACATGGAAGTGGTTTGGAATATCGCTCTATAGGTAATATATATGTAGCTGGAAGAGGCATTTTTTGTGTATGTGTTTTGGATACTAATGGATGAGGATGAATAATTTGTGTTGTTTTAGAGTTCCATTTACTTCTTTTGATGTATCTTAATTTGAAAATGTATTGATACATACATCCACTGTGTGACATGCATTCATATGTATTTCCCAGAAGCTAAGATGTTATCATGCACTTCAACCACCTAATTGTTTTCTCTATTTCTAGATTCTTCTCCCCCTCTCTAAGTACTTTTCTTTTACTCTCACATTGAAACCAACACAAAAAGAACAAAGTTTTTGTCCTTTGTTTCTTTTCAGTTTCACACTTGTGTTTGCTTGAGTGCACATATGGTCTTGTGCTTTCAACAAATTAGAACAAACGTAATCAAGAATGGCGTCTCCTTCCTCACCTAACTTATTAACCTCTTCCACGGATGAAGGAATTGTTGTACCATTGACCAAATGAGAAGGATTCCGACCATACGAACCTTTGAAAGGCCTAGATTATCACCCATAATCTAGGCTTGTCTCCGGTTAGGCAAGTACGCTACTAAACTTGAGTTTGGTTCCTGCTAATTTGAATATTTCAGTCCAAAAATTACTTAAGAACAGTTTGTCATGGTCAGAAACAGTGATGGCAGGGAATCCATGCAAACTTACAACTTATTGAACAAAGACTTCAGCCACTGATTTGGCCGTGAAGGGAAGGTTCAGAGGTACGAAACTTACATTCTTTGTAAGTCTGTCCACCACTACGAAGATAATATGTTTATGACTGTTTTTGGCAAACAATCATGAGTTTGACTAACTTAAAATTTTTTGAGAGTAATTTGTGTAAATTGCATGTACGAAAAAGTATGTGTTTGTGAATTGACAGTGCGGATTTGCACAAAGACAAAAATGATATAAATTTTAATTGAAGAAGAGTGTGGATGAAAGCAATGAATGAAAAGTACAATAAATGACATTAAAGGAAAACGTGGAGTAAATTACATTAAAATAAGAATGTTCCAGCTAAGGAAAATAAACACAAATAAAATAGAGGGACCCTGACTCTTACACGTTCATCACAAAATGTTCTGTTCTTTGCCTCGGGTACTCCAGTTCTATAGTGAAATGTAAAATTTTACGACCTCGAATACAATGTATGAGTCTACTATTTATAATATTCTAAAAATATCCCTCGACAACGGTTAATCCCTAAAAGATCAGATATGATTCTCACTACTTGAACATTCGTGTTCCAAATTGCTTCCCCATGTCATCAAAGAAATAACTGCTGAGGAACAGGATGTCGTGTTGATAACCGTCCTTCAACGTGCTTTGGATTTTTCAACCGCCTCCAAGCCTATCTGATTCAGTTCCAGTAGCGTTTGTCGAAGCGTTTCCTTACTTACCCGATATCACTACTAGAAAAGTCAGTTTTAATGACCGATTTAGTGACTAAAAATTTTTGGTCACTCTAGCCACTGAAATTTAATATCCATGAGTAAATTTTTAGATGTCTCTAAATCGGTCACAAAATAAAATCAGCCACCGATTTAACAATCGAAACTTTGTGACCGAAAATCCAGTCCTCAAAAAACTGTTTTTAAATAAAAGTTAATTTATGAAAAAAATTAGAGACATGATAATTTAAAATTTTTAAAAATAATGAAGATATAAGTATCATTAAAAACCTATCAGTTAGGTCTATAATTAAATATGCTTCCATTATTTTATTCAAACTAAATGACCCTCAACATGTGATTCAGAAAATTCTGATGGAAGATTTTTTTAGTGGATTGAAATATATATTTCACTTCACTACTACGAAAAAGACATTTAACAACGTTTGGAAAAAATATATAATCACGCAGGTCCAGACATTGTTATGTAGAGTATTGTTGTAAATGTGTTATCTACAATCACGTTTTTGGAATCGTTGTAGTATATTGGAAAACACGTGTGATATCACAACGGTTAGTTAACTCAACCATTGTGACAGACCTATATAAATTATAATTTATCACGGTTACTATAGATAATCGTTGTGGAAAATACCCATAGTTCATTATATTATACGTAGATTTCTTGTTTTTTCATACCCCTCATTAAAGAAATACAACCATTCAAATTGTTGAAGAAGTATATGATCTAAAAATTAAACTATTCTTGAAACAAACAATCTACATAGCATATAATAAACTAAACTTCATCTAGTATCAACATGTATAAGAATTTAAAGAACAAAATATTGCTAAGTCACAAGAAGCCTCTTTCTTGTGACTTAGCAATATTTTGTTCTTGTTTTGAGAATATTTGTCAACAACAACAACATACAACAACATAACAAATACATGCAACAAAATAAAAAAAAACATACATTTTAGAAACAAAACACTAACAGCATACAATATCACAAGATATATTAAATTGTTTCAAGAACACACATTTTTTTGAAAATAATCTTGAATCTGTAACAACTTATGAAGCTCATCTAGTTTGTGATGTTATGAGAAAGAAATACAAGGTGAATGAAGTTTCCACAATAACTTCATACTTCTTGTATTTTTTCCATAGCAACACAAACCATATGTTCTTTATCATACTATACGCTTGCTACCACCATCATCACCACGTATCATCCCCTTAACCATCCAACACCATAATCTGCAAGAAAATACAACAAACTTCAACCATGAGCATCATCACAATACATCCACGCATATAACACACATATCATTTAATCAAAGCCAAATATACACAAAATAATTTTAGCAAAATTTCACCATTTTCCTACTGACTCACATACAAACAAACTCTATAAAGCAACCTACTAACTCATTGTAATGGATCTACCATTTTCCTATTGTTACGCTGCTGAAGTTGAAACCAATTCCTAAAACCAGAGTCCTAACTTCTAAGCATCAACAGAGAGATCGAAAGAGAGAGCAGGAGAACATACCATTTTCGCCGCCGTCAGAGTTTGCACCGGACGTTGCTCCTTCTAACATTTGTGTTTGATATGTTGGTTTAAACCCCTATGATATTTATTTAGTTCGTGTGAGGGGGTTGTGTTAAGAGTTTTCTGTTTAGGGGTAATGGCGGAGAAACTTGACAATATGTTAGAGTTTTCTTTAGAGAGAAAATGATTGTTACGAACTAGGCGAATATATATATATATATATATATATATATATATATATATATATATATATATATATATATATATATATATATATATATATATATATATTAAAAAATATCACTTTTCGTCACGGTTGACAAGACGAACCATGATTTTTTGCATAATGAAATATATCATAACGGTTGAATAAAATAACTGTAGTGATATCCCTTTTATTTTTTAGTTAAAAATAAATAAAAAAGAAAATACGCGCCTTAATGTTAAAGGAATAGAATTTTTGAGGGTGTTGAGGTTCGAACTCATGAAAGCTTGATTCTATCACTACGGTCAGGTCACTAACCGTTATTATATCCTAACAATTTTTAATTAAAAAAAAATGTTAGCGCCTGAGTGTAGAGATGTCACCACGGTGTTTAGAAGAACTATGGTGACTTGACTGTTGTTGTATGCGCGTTTTGTAGTAGTGCTTTGTATTAAGTAACTGGTAGGTGACTACACTAAACTCGGTTAGGTAGGATCTCCTTCCAATTGTATCTAATATAACTCTTAAGTCTCATCAATCGGGTGAATAACTCTGTATTATTATATATCATATGGATTGTTCCTGACTCTTGCTTATATCCATATATAATATTGTTATAATTAGTTTAGTTATGCTAAAGCCAAATTATTAGCAATTAGATATTACATTTATTCCACCACATCTTTCTAATATAGAATATGTGCCTCGCGGTGGACGAAACATACATTATTTGATAGTAGTCTCGATGAATGCTAAATATTGGAAAGCTTAGACTTAATATTTATCTTAAGGAAATTTGTAATTAATGTGACCTCACCGACTTAATTATCATATAAGTAGTCTCTCACATGAATCAATATACATTCACATGCATCAACACACATATAAAGTTTAATGATACAATTATGACTCATACCACAATTGTTCCTTCAAGTCAATGAGAGAACATAAAGAAAACCTAAAAATGATACATGCTTCTCCAAACAATATCTCCATGGTTGTTCTCCTTTAATTTTGTTTTCTTCTCTTTCTTTATTATATTACATAAAATAATGACATATTTTGAAAATTTTCCAAAAAAAAAAAAGAAGTAAAAACTAAAATCATAATTGTTGACCACATTGCAACAATAATACAATTTTATTATTATTATTATTATTATTATTATTATTATTATTATTGTTATTATTATTAAATTATGTTAATTAAATAAATTAAATTAAATTTTAGCGATTGATCACACTACTCAAAGTTAACTGGGAGAAGATAACTCTTAATGAAAAATTCATTTTGAATCAATGCCAATCTTTTGCATCAAAATTGATGCCTTTTGCAAATAAAAAAGGCACAAATTTTGCTTCATCACAAACCCTAATTGTATAACTCATGACATCACAACTCTTTCATTACCATAAACTCTAATGTAACATGTTCATATCATTAAAACATATTGATCGATTATTCAATATGACCTATTGAAATGCCATTGCTTCACCATTTAAATGTAGGTCACAAAGTAGTAAAATGAATATTAATAATTCAAATGTATAACAATCATTACACTAAATCGACTGAGTCACTGCGCCAAAATTGAGTTTTAACAACGCATATTAGACAACGCTTTTGTACAAAAGCGCTGCTATAAGTGAATAAAAAAAACATAAAAAACGTATAAAATAATTAGTAAAAGCGCTGCTAAACATATGACCTTAGACAACGCT